AACCCTACTTACTAAGTCAAAAGGGCTTCCTAGTAGGGTTTAGGGATTTAGGGTTTAGGGATTTAGAGGTTTAGGGGTTTAGGGTTTGGGGGTTTCGAATTTCTTCAGCGCTGAAGCAAGGAGCTCACGGCTCAAGGCCTAAAGTCTTATTGGGTTGAGGCGCAGGCAACCCGAAACCCTAGACATTGAACCCTATAGTTTACCCTAAAACTTTAGGGTTTAGGGTTTAGGGTTTAACCCTAAAACCCTAGACCCTAAACCCGAAAATCCTAAGCCCGAAACCCTAAACCCGAAAACCCAAAGACCCGAAACCCTACGCCCTAGACCCCAGACCCCAAACCCTAAGACCATAAAACCCCTAAACCCTAAGCCCTAAAACCCTAAAGCCCTAAACCCAAGACTCTAGACCCTAAGCCCCTAAACCCTAAACCCTAAACCCTAAAGCCCTAAAGCCCTAAAACCCTAAAACCCTAAACCCAAGGGCCAGACCCTAAGCCCGGACACCCTAAACCCTAAACCCTAAAGCCCTAAAACCCTAAAACCCTAAAACCCTAAACCCAAGGGCCAGACCCAATCTTCAACTAGAAACCCTAGACCCTAAACCCCAAACCCTAGACCCTAAACCCTATAGTTTAGGGATTAGGGTGGGTTTAGGGTTTAGGATAGCACCCTAGACCCCAAAGCTTAGACCCTAGACCCAATCTCCCAGGCCATGCTGCGGCCGCAAGCTTGCTTTTGGAGGCCGAGGCTGAGGCGAATCTCCTTCCGCAGATTCCTAGGGTTCAGCGTAAACCCTAGACCCTTTAAGAAAAAGCACTAAACCCTTTAAGAAAAAACACCAAACCCTTTAAAGAAAAAAACCCTAAACCCTTTAAGAAAAAACACTAAACCCTGAAGCCTACAATGTTCATAGGGTTTAGGGCAAAGGAATCAAGAGGGTTGGGAGATCCAGAGCGGTCCTTCGGGTAGTTCTCCTCTAAATTCGGGTCCCTTTGGGGGTCTTTAGGGTTTAGGGTTTCAGTGTGGCCTGGCGGTTTTATGGTGTTTTGTGGAGTTCTGTAGTTTGGGCTGTACTGGTAGCTAAGTTAGATCCTGAAGCCCTGAACCCTAAACCTCAACCCAAAGCCCCGATAAATCCTGAAACCCGCTCTTTTTTGCGCCTGCCTCCCAAGGAAGCCCTACCCTCAGTTTAAGGATTTCTCACAGGGCCGTATCGGTTTTACGGGGTGTTATTGCGGCACATAGCCGAACTAAACTTGTAATCAGAGTACTCATGCAGCTTTGGGGGTCCATTCCTTCACTACGTGCTTGTGGGTTTCCTTGAAGTCTTGACCCTAAGCCCTAAACAGTAAACCCTAAGCCCAAATCCTAAACCCTGCGCTGCCGAAGGTGAAGGGCTCATCGTTGTCGGCACGCCCGAGACCAATCGGGCCCGCCCCTTGTGAAGCCTTGCAGGTTGAGGCCTTGTCCTGACAGATCATATCTACGGTTGGACCCATGGGCCCCTAGTATGGGCCCTTAACCCTGGGACCCGAATATACCTACTATATACCCTATATATATACCTTTAAGGGGCCCTAGAATCCCCTAAGGGCCCATGTTAGGGGCCCATGGGTTCAACCTTAGATCATAACCGGAAGCAAATGCTAGCTTCATGATTATGTACATCACTCATGCTAATGGTACTGCCGGAGTGCCCTTATGACTCTTAGGCGGTCCCCCCTGAAGCCTGATGGATAGAAAGAAATTTGCCTTCCCATCAAGAGTATTCGGACAGTAACATTCATCCTAGTCGCAGTTTCGAAGAGTTGTCTTGAAACCCTGAACCCTAAACCCTAAGTTGTCTTGTGCTGATGAAAGGCCTATAGTTATAGAAGTTCTTAAACCTATTACATAGCAACCCTCGGCTTTCAAACCTGAGGCCAGTCCAACAGAGAGCAAGCCCTGAACCGAAAACCCTGTCAGACGTAATAATTCTGCGCATAGGCTAAGGGCCCAAGATGCCCCAAATTGCAATTGTGAGCCGAATATTGCTGTCAGAAACCCAAGTACAGAAGGTTGGGTACTTTGGACCTCTTGTGGCAAGCCTTCCCGCAACCCCTAACCCCAAACCCTAAATCCTGGCACCAAGTCTTGGACTTGAAGTGCAAACTCGACACCCTAGCCCTGAGACCCCAAACCCTAAACCCTCAACGCTAGACCCTAAATCCTAGCCCCTAACCCTCAATCCTCGACCCTAAGCCCCAGAAGCCTCAACCCTAAGCCCCAGAAGCCTCAACCCTAAACCCTAAACCCTGAAAGGCTCTACAGGTTCTCCTTCAAGACAACCACGGCAGCGGCCTTGATTCCTTTTCCGGGATTTCGAAGAGAAGGCTCAGGGTCTAAGGGTTCGGGGTTTAGGGTTTAGGTTTGAGATGATGGCTAGGGTTGGAGTTAAGGCTAGGATTTAGGAATTCAGAGTTTAGGTGTGCTGTAGGTTTAGATGCAGGGCTTGGTCGCGAGGGACCGTCGTACGGCTATGGGCAGGCACGTGTCATTACACTACACGCGTGAAAGGGCTACTTTACCCAAATGTCCAACCCAAAGCCCCAAGCCCTCAAACCTAAATGCTCCAACCCTAGACCCTAAACCCGATACCCTCCAAAAAGACCTATACCCTAAACCCCAAACTCCATCCCTAAACCCTATACTTTGAACAGTAAACCGTAGCTGAAAATCCAGGCCCCCGGCCCGGGAAGGGCAAGTCGAAGCGCCAAAGACTGAGCCTTAAAAGCGCCAGAAACCATTGACCACCCCGTTCTCTGTATCGGAAGGTACGGTTTAGGATTTGGGATTTCGGGTTTAGGTTTTGGAGTATTTTGTACCGGAAGGTACGACTTAGGGTTTGGGGTGTAGGGTTTAGAGTTTCGGGTTTGGGGTTTAGGGGTTTAGGGTGTGGGACTTGTGATCGTGGCCTAGGCCTTGCTACCTCAACACCCGGCGTTTCGCGTGGTAACGGAAATCATGTGGGAGTTTCTGAAAATAAGGAGTACCTTATTTGGGGGTCCTTATAATAAGGAAGGATCCTACTATTTAGGGTACTA